GAGCTGTTCGAGCTGCGCCACAACCCCATCGTCCAGGGTCAGCCTTACGACGATAGTGACGATGACGATGAGAATACCGAAGAAGGCGCTGAGCAGGCGGTGGCGGAAGGCGACGAGGATGGCGTGATCGAGCCGGAGGTAGTGGGTGACTACGACCGCTATTCTGACGAGTCTGTTGTGGAGGGCGTGTCGTACGCCGTGCCCGCCCTGGTCGACCTGTGCTGCTGCGTCGTGGCCACAGACGAGCGGCTCCTGCTCTCCGCCGGGGCCAGCGAGAGCGACCAAGGCGAGGGACCCTCTCACCTCCAGGTATTTCCCGTTCCCCAGCTGTTTTGTGCGTTGTCGACAGCTCCCTCAAACATCATCGAAATCCACACTCCGGATGATGAACGCCATCTCTTCTCTTCCCTGTTCCATGCTTGGGTGTGCTCGCGCTGCCCAACAACCGCGTTGCGTGTGCTTGGTGACAGTTCTGACTTTACTCAACTTTCTCGTAATGACTGGTTGCACGTTCTTTCGTGGTGGTGTTGTTGGTGGGGGACGATGCAACCTTATGTGGTTGTTGTGGGACACCATGTAGCCCCAGCTTCCACAGGACCTGCGGCTGCGGCTCTGTCGCGGTGGGCGGAGTTGCGTGCACTGCGGGCAGCTCTTCTACGGCCTTCCACCGGTCACCGCCGTGCTGCGCCGCCTGGTCCTCCCCAGCTGCGGCCGCTTCGTGCCGTCCATGGGGGACAGTGCTGTGTCACGAGACCTTCGCCTGGTGTTTCGCTCCTCCTTCTGTTCGGCCGCCTGTTGTCGAGCTAGGCTCAGTTGACCGCCGCCAACACAACAGCGGCCGCTGTTGGTCGGTCAGAAGCGGCTCGCAAGCGGCTCCCCAAACGGCGGTCAGAGGGCCAGAGCCGCAACGGCCTAAAGTCCGCCTGCCTACGGAACTGCGGCCGCGTTCGACCTAGAACCCAAAGGCGCAAACCGCACGGAAAGCCGACGCCCGTTCGAGTGTGGTGGCCAACCACGGCAACACGTGGCGCCGTACAGAGCCAGCTCACACCGCCGGCGACACATGAACGGGCGTGACGCTGCTAAGATCGTTCTGTTCCCTCGATCTTTGACGCGGTGTTGTAGGTGGCGGTTGGTGTGTTACTGGTGACGGGCCTGTCCGTTGGGCCAATGGGCACACTGCGGCATGGCATGTGGCCCAATTGCGGCTCACACTCCGAGCACCGACTGGGTGCGCCGAGATAACATTTAACCGCGATGCGAATGAGCGGCAAGCTGGAAAAAGAGCAACCACAAGACATCATCGCTTTCCTTCTTCTTCTTTCTTCCGACTTCCCCTTCACGCCACCGACCAGGCATCACCACCAACCACGCGCCGGCCACTGATCAGCTCTCGCCTAATCAAAGCCCAAAGACGCACAACTACTTCCCTCACTTTCCTCTCCCCTTACCCTAGCTCGCGCCAGTCGGGGGACGTCAGGTCAACTTTCACCTCTCCCATCGCTCCTTACAGACAGTACCCGCACCCTTCGTTCTCCCGGCCAAAGCACATCTGCTCCAGCACAGCTCGAACAGAGAACATCTTTCTCTTCCCCGCGCTTGAGCCACCCCAAGCTTTCGCTCACACACACACACACACACCAGCTCAACGCGCTGCGACCGCCATCTCGACTTCCTTCGGTCAACTTCCGGGCTCGCATAAAATAAGCTTATCCGCTTCGCTCCGGGAGCGTCACGTCCCTGGCACGCATCCAACCGCCATCCATCTACCAACACGCACACACGGACAACGTGAGCTCCAGCTCTGTCGTCATCAATCGAGCTCCAGAACGAGAGGAAGAGCGAAAGCGAAAAGAGACCCAGCCAAAGAACGAAAGCGAAGATGGACGCTCTTGCGGCCGCTGCGGCGAGGCAGAAGCCGGTTAATCCCGCGACAGCGACAACCACCAGTACTGCGTCATCATCGACCCCGCCGCCGACATCACCTTCGACGCCGGCCAGCAGACCGTCGGCCCTTTCCATCAACTTCCTCGTCGAATCTTCGTCGAGTCCCTACTTCGTCGAAGAAGCTGGCGACGCTACCAACAAGCCCAGCGACCACGTGGTCGTCGTTGACGAGCAACTTCGAGCCCACACACCCAGCAAGATTAGTCGTCAACATCTAGATGACGTCGACGACGGTCAAGATGAGGCCTCTACCTCGCCCGCCACCACCACTCCCGCCCACCGGGCATCCCCCTTCGATCATCTTCTTCACTTTTCTCATCAAAGCTCGACCCTGTCCTCCGTCTCCTCGGCCCCCACGCCCTCATCTACGACGTCGTCCACACCGTCGACATCGAGGAACAACTCGCCCACGCCGCCGCCCGGTCCGTGCGTCGTGTTGCCAAGGCCGGTCCGCCCGAACACGTCGTTGTCGTCGTCGGCTCTGCCCGCCTACCCTCCGCTCCACCACCCGACGACCACGGCCGCCTACCCCTATCCGGCCTATTACCCGCTGACGTCGTTCGCCAACAATCCATCCGCTGGACCCGAGGCGACGACATCTTTGGCGACCAGCTCCTCCAACACATCAACTTTGCCGCCTCCGGTTCCGATGTTGACCACGCCCGGCGCAGGCCCGGTGATCGATCTCCAATTCCTCTCGCAGCTCTACCTGCAGGCGTCGCCCTACTTGCTCCCCGGCCTCTTCTCGACGGCGACGGCGACCACATCTTCATCGTCGACGTCTTCGTCTTCGACGACGATGTCGGGTGGTCACCACCAGCAGGCGCCGCCGCCCGGCTACCACCCGGGGATCCATCTGCAGCAGCAGGTCTTCCACCAGGCCATGGCTCTGGCCCAGCTTCACCCGCTGCCGCTCCACCAACACCACCAGCAGCAGCAGCAGCACATCTCCCGCCGGCCTCGGTCCATCGCGAGTCGTCGACGGCCCTCGCGCCCATCACGCCCGCCAGGTCGCTCGACCGACATGTGCCGAACCACCAGCACCAGCAGCACCAGCACCACGACCACCAACGCCACCAGTCGGCCGGCCTCAGAGCAGGCGGCGACCGCATGTCGGCGCTCGAGTCGATCCTCGCGCGGGCCGAGCGACACGCCCAGGAGGAGAACGCACGCAACCTGGCGCGCGGCATCAAGCGCGAGAAGAGCGAGCCGCGCTACGGCGACGACGACTACGCCTCACCGTCGCGGTCGGACCGCATCAAGCGCCGGAGAACGGACAGCAACAGCAGCGACAGCGACTACTCGCCCTCCAGCGCTGGCAGCCAGCGGCGAACCCAGAGCGACGACGACGAGCACCACCATCGGGGCCAACCGACGTTCACCAGCTCCAGCAGCGGCAGCAGCGATGACGACGAAGACGATGAGAGCGGCGGCGGAGCGAGGCGAGCAGCGGGCAAGCACCAGGGCGTGGTCGGGACCGGCATGAGGGAGATGCTCTACAAGCGGCGGCAGGCGTCGCCCAAGCAGGTGGTGCTGCTCGAGCAGGTCTTCGCCGTGGAGCCCATCCCGACCAGCGCCACCAAGCTGCGGCTGTCCGAGGTGCTCAACATGAGCCCCAAGCGGGTCACGGTCTGGTTCAAGAACAAGAGGGCACGCCAGAAGAAGAAGGGCATTCCGCTGCCCAACTCTTGCACCACCGCCACCACCACGGCCACCACCGCTTCGACCGGCGCCACGTCGTCGCCTGGAGGACCCACGACGACCTCCTCGAGCGTCCGGACGTCGCCGATCGACCGCAAGTTCGCGACGTCGTCGGCTTCGTCTTCGTCATCAACAACGGCGGCGTGTTCATCTCCACCATCGGCTCGTAGACGAGGAGACCAACACCTCACCTTCCACTACTTCGCCGACCGCGACGGCGATGACTCCGCCGCGGCGCCCTGAACCGCGAGTGTGACATGTAGCATCATAAACCAGAAGCTTCTACTTCTCGGCCTCCGGACGTGTGCGAGAGCAACACGAGTCGTAGAGAAAGCAATAAATACACCGGTTCGCAAAACGAGAGTTAGTTATGCACGGCAACCGTTCTTGCTTGTTCCTTTGCTGCAGGTCAGAAAACCAGACGGAGAGCCCATGACACACTATTTTTTTCCTTTCCAGGATCAGGTAGCATCTGGTTGGTCCGGCTGTAACATGTGATCATGTCCGCAGAAAGTCGACTAATAAGGATTTGGTTTTGCATTTTCAAAACAACGTTTCGTTTTTGTTTTCGTTTTGGAATCTGTTCTTCCTTTCCGGTTTTCTCTTCTCATTTCTCCGATTGCACCCAAGCGACCCAGGCGAAGTCAGAGGATGGCGAGCACGCAGGCGAAAAATCCCTGTACGTTGACCTCTCTTCCCTGTTGTTCCAAGGCGAAGACCTGACTGACTCAACAATCAATCCACAAGATGATACGCTCATTCAATTCGTAGGAGGCGGAGTCGGCGGTTGTGTGGCCTCCATTTGTACCATCCCCTACCGTTTTTATATTTTAGTTTATTTTCTGTGTTCGTGCTGATAAACAAGACTTGATCTTATTTTTTGTATTTGATTTAATAATCTTTTAGTTTTGTGGTTTTATTTTGAGTTAATAATGTTCTCTTCCCGCTTGGCTGTCCTATCAAGGCACGCACCCGGTGGACCTGCTCAAGGTGCGCCTGCAGGTGCAGGGCTCGGCTTCGGGCCTCGCCGCACCGCAGCTCGGCCTGTGGAAGACCACCGTCTCCGTCTTCAAGGAAGGCGGCATGGTCGCTCTCTACCAGGGGTACCACCTTCTTCTTCTCCCATCGCAGCCATCAAGACCCACCTCGCGCCTGTGTCACCAACCAAACACTGACCAATCATCAATCAATCAACCAATCAATCAATCACCACCACCACCACAGGCTGAGCGCGTCGCTGCTGCGGCAGGCCACCTACACGACCACGCGCTTCGGGTGCTACATGTACCTGCGCGACCTGCTCGCCGACAGCCAGGGCAATCTCCCTTCTACCAGAAGGCACGCAGCACCGACTTTGATTATTGATTTATTATTTATCATT